CCCCCACCGCGCCAGAAGCCGTAGACGAAGCCCAACGCTTCACGTTGCAAAACCAGCGGCGTGCGAGGAAGGCACCCGGGGGTGTGGTGGCCATGAGCTCACCGCATTCCTGGAGCGCCGCAGCCAGCCAAGGCTCCTCACTCCACTCGGAGCAGGGTTCTGTCATGACAGTCACACCCCTTCAACTTGCTTTATATTAGCAACCGAAAAAAAAAAAAATAATAAAAAAAAAAATCTCTGCTCTGCAGAAAGACTCTATTTCACATCCCGGAAGAAAATGAAGTTGACAGTTTGGAATGCCAGACGGCATTTTTAGCTAAACTGGGCAGTTCACATGGATTAGCGTGTTCCTGAGAGCTCTTGGTGCCCAGCCGGGCAGCTCCTCCACCGAGGCGGGTTTGGAGCACGAGCGATGAGGTCTGACAAGGACGGCAGGACAGCCTCAGGTGCAAGGAGCAGCACCGAACCTCACCAGCCCGAGAGAAACTCACAGCGAAGTGCTTCGAGAGAGCTGGATCCTGCCTAAACCCTGCCTGGTGCTGGGCGTGCTGGTGGGCTTCAGTCTGAAGAAAATACTACCTGTTAAGTTTAAAGAGAAAGTGTGCTGACACAGCCCTTTTCTACCAACGTGCTGCTTTAAGGAGCTTGTTCCAACAGCAATGGCATCGTTTCTTTCTGAGTTTGATTTAGAAGCTACCGTTTCAAAACCGGATTACTCAGCATCTTTTTCTTTGTTAAAAAAAAAACCCTTTTCCAGCAAACTCTATTCACAAGTGACAACATATACTGAATATAGCTGTAAAGCTGTCCACTTACCCAAAACTTCACTACTGCAGGACTTGTTAATCTATTGTTTATTTTCATGCAAACCATATCAACTTATATCATTAAATATAGTTTCACACGGCTATTTTTAATGGTTCAGTTCTAAAGCTGTTCAGCAAAGATGCTGGTTTTCAGTTCAAAAGTTAACGGCCTCTTCCATACAATGGGAACGCCTTTAATGATACAGCTGAGCTATTTTCTTGGTCTATGTAACTCTTTTTCCTCAGGTATTGAAAACATCAGCTCCAGAAACATCAAACTGGAGACTTGGTCTCGAATTCTAGAGAACATATTTAGCTCTTTTCTCTAAAACTCAAGTCCCAGAGAAAACAGGACAAGGAAGGAAGCACAGATCTTCTATGCCGCGATTCAGCTGAATAAGCTCTGGGTATTAAATAACTACATTTTCTAATTTTTCAAAAGAAAATAACTTACCTAACTCAATACAGGTAATTCCAAGAGACCAAACATCTACTTTGCCATCATACTGCCCTTCATCCATGGCTAAAATCACTTCTGGGGCCATCCTAAAACAGGAAATTGGTGCTCATAAAATTCCAGGCAATGGAACCCATCCTCACCACCAGTGTTTCAATGGAACAGGCCATTTCCCTGATTGCAGCTACTGTAAACAAATCATTTCCCAAGATATCAGGCATAATCATGGGACATTGGGAACAGAGAATGGGCACCTGCCCCGGTACAAGCCTGGAGAGAGGCTGCACAATGTTCTCCTGTGCTTTGCCCAGCTCTCCATTTCCGAGCATCACCACCTTCTCGCCCTCCCACACTTCCAAAAGTTCAGCTGGCAGGCCAGCTCTGGTGAAATAATTAGAGCCTGCGGTTGGGTAAACACCACAGATCAGGTCTAAGAGACCAAAAGTGCACAAGGGATCTGCAAAGGGGTTTGTTCAATGAACCTGGCCTTTCCTATGGAAGAAAAAACACTTCAGTTATTTTAACAACCAGATGCGGCAAGAACACACAAATTGTTAAAACCACTGGAGGGAGCGAATAAATTATATTACAGATTACTCAATCCCACCTCTACCACTTAGAAGTCAGTGTAAGGAGAACAAAAAAATATTTTTGTTACTCTTTGTGAACTTCAGACACAAGGATTCACAATTGCTTGAAGTCAGAGCCTACTTACTATCTTTTTTTTTTTTTTTTTGCAATCACTACTACAACCAGAAGATTTCAAAGCTAGCTCCAATAAAGCTCAAGTACTTAAGTACCCAATAAATAATTCTTCCACTTCATAAAGCCAGAAACACGTAGAACTTTTGGCTTACCAATATGGCGTCCCCACAAATGAGTTGGCAGGAGATGCTATGGAAGCAGACCCAAAGTCAGCAAGTTTCACCTGTCCCGGCTCTGTCAGCAGGATGTTTCCTGCCTTGATATCTCTGGTTATAGAATACAAGTGTCAGCGTTATTCTCCAAAAAAAGAAAACCTTCCATAGGACAGACTACAAAACATGCCAGTATTCACCTGTTCAAGGTGCACAATACCCACATTTCCTCCAAACACACAGCCTTCGATCTGGGAATCTAGTTTGTCTTAAACATCAGCTTAAAGTGGGACACCTGAATCCGCTTCGCTTAAAGGTCAGCAAAACCTTCTGAACCAACTATATCAATGTTTTATAAATGTTTTTCCTTTATAAATGTTTTTCAGAAAGTACTAATAACGTCACGATTCAAATTCTTCAGCTGCTAAAATGCAGCAGGTACTTCAAACCCAAAGAACAGTTGTGTCACATACTTACTGTGTGCCTCTCAACATGTGTGTTCACGTAAAACTAATTTTTCAAGTACTGGTGCTCCCCCCGCCCCAGCAATCTGTGCCTTGCAGTTGCTACAAGCTACTCGCTGCCCCAGGGAACAATCATCATTGCATCAAGTACTGAAAAATCGAGCAGATCCAAAGCAATCCTGCAGATTTACAGACATCAGCTTAAGAGACAGCGTGCTCGGAGATACCCAGCTTCCTGGTACCTGACTACTATAAATCACTAGTTTGGGAGCATACAGGCACTGCGAAGAGAAAATCTCCACTTATAAATATTAAGTTTGGGACAAAGTAAATTACCTGTAAGTGTGTGAGACAGCAAAAGTATAACCGCTTACCTATGGATCATATTGTGAGAATGCAAGTATGCTAATCCCTGGAGAGCACCATGGGTAATTGCTGCTATTTCCACTTCTTGCAATGGCTTTTTATGAACTTCGGGAAAGACTTTATTTGAAATTCAATATTAAAGAAAACAACGCAGTTTGCAGCATGCAAGTGAGTACTGTTAACAATGTCAACAGAGAGAATATACCAGAATTTTTTTAATTCGGTTCAGTATGAGAAGCAAATGTAAAAATAGTTCACAGCATACATTCTATAAACAGACATAATCTTCTAACTGTAAAACAGCAGCTATTTCCTACCAAAGTGAGACCACTTTGTAACCATAACCTCCACTCCTGTCAGTTCTGTGACCATTCTGCCAAATACCTCTTTGAGACTCAATATTCAATTTTCTATTAATGAAGCTAAATCCCAAACCCTAGAACTTTACAACAATTCACGCGTGAATAAACTGTAGCAATACCGATGACCCTCTGGCAGCTCAGCCTTTTGTCCTGAAATGCTTCTGGCAAGCAAAGGAGATGAACAACTTACTGGCCACACATACATCTCCACGAGAAAGTTCACTTCCAGAAGCCTGACAGAAAAATGACCATTTCACAAAGGACCTCATCAAGCAACAAAGCTGCTGCAAGTGCTATTTTAGTCGAGGCCCACAGTGGTTAGTAAGCATTAGGATCAACAGCAAGGGTTTTCAGAAATAAATCTGGAACTGTCAGGACAGGAGAACCTAAAACTCAGAAGAAAATAAATAGCTGACTGACGACTTTAAAATAACGTGAACCAAAGAGAAACTAAGCACCTAGGAAAGCCAATATGCTACAAAAGGATCATTACAGCCAGGCAAGAATTTGAAAAACCGCACTTATTCACACACACTCTCAAACCAAGCTAGATAATCAAGGACAACTCTGTGACACTGTAACCTCCTGCTTCAGTACTATAATTCTGCCTTTCAATCAAATAAACATGCGTGACATACCTTCTAGTAAGTCTGATGCTGATCCTAAACAATATTCCATAACAAGCTGCAGGGGAAGAAACCGAAATAATTGTTAGAAAATCTCTAACAGGAAACGTCTGTTTTCTAGATTTCTGCAAAGAACTCTAGATCGAGTCGCTGGTGCACACAACGCAGGCAGCCGTGATAAAACGAGTATTGCTTGTGACATAAACCCCAGCCTAGCGCTGTCACGCTGACTCCTCCCCCAAGGATAGCTCCGGCTGGAATAAGCAGAACCTTCCCGGGGAAGATACCAAGCAACAAACCCGTGAGGAAGGCAGAAGCATGTTCACAGCCAGCCTGTATTGTCTTACACACCTTATTTCATACGCACGTACCTAACAAGAATGTAAAACTGCACTTAACAAGCTTATCAGAGTATTAAAGGGTTATTTAGGGATTTCCTTAAGATGTTGTCCCAGTCAGATTTCAAAAAAAAAAAAAAAAATTAAATCTTTGTCCTACAGATTTACATGAACAGTACTTAAATTTAAATTGGTAGTTCAACAAAATGAATTCTTTAGAATATTGTAGTACAAAAGCTTCGTCAATGAAAGGTGTATCTCACACTCTTTGCTTGACAAAATGCTTCCTGGGCACAGCCAGTTGTACCTATTCCTACACACACATTTTTATGCTCAGAAACTCAAATAAGCCAAATTTAATTTGGGAGGAAGCTTGGGCTTTTTGATTAAATCAAATCTATGAAATTAATTAGGAGATGACAGCCAGAGATAAAACCAGCTAGTTGGTTCTGTCACCTGGACACACACACACACACAAAGAATCGAGAACAGAAATAAACAACATACAACAGAAGAATTTAGTTCAATAACAGAAATACTAATGACTCAAAATACACTTTAATTACAATTATCAGTAGGATAATTCTAACTCATTCCATTCAAGTACACCTGAACGCTTACTTCTAGAACAGTCAGTCAACCTGTAAAGAACTGAACCCGCGGACACTCTGTGCGGCACCAAAGGCACTGTAAAACGACCGCAAGCACCTCATCAAGTTGCCATACTCGCCTCCCAGGAAGTGCAACCGAAATTCTCCACCTTTGCTTCCAGCAAGAAAAGATAAATTTGTGCCCCGCTCCCCTTTATTAATTTATTTCAAATGCTCCGTCCATCAAGCTCAACACGCTAGAGCAGCAGCACAATCAGCTTACGCTGCGAAGGAAGAATTTCCCCAAATCTTGTTTCCAAAAACTACACTCAGTTTTGCCCAGCACCTGTGAGGTCCTTGGCTATTCTCATCGGATTCTGTGCAGCGCAAGCGTTCAGGTGCCTCGTGAACTCCAGCTGGGGATATTTTAAAGCGCCCTTAACCAAGGCAAGAGAAGTGCAGAGTGCAGCAGACGCTTACCCATGCTGTATGCTCCCGCAAATAGCAGCCTTTGTATTCTATACTGTTAGGGTGTTTTATTCTTTGGAGGAACTTGACTTCCTTAATAATATCCTGCCATTTCTGTAGGAAAAAAAAAAGGAATAGAAAGAATTTATAACACTGTTACCTCTTTTTTTTGTTGTTGTTCTCAAGTTAATTTAATTGTTTTAACAGGTAAAATCATCTTCAGGTTCCAAATCAAAATAAGTTTCTGTCAACACCACGATGTTCACTGCTTGAACTCCTCAGCAAATCCACAAAATGAGTTGTTGGTTGATGAGGCTGTCTGTCTGTCTGTCTCCCATCAACATAATACTTTACATGTCTGCATAGGATATACTGGTAACAGTATCTGAGCAAATCCTCAAAAAAGAGGCAATTCTTTTCTCAATGGATACAGTTTCTTTTGCCAAATCACTCACACACCCCAACCTGAAAGAGATGTGGACGTCAAGTGTC